TTTTTTTCATTTTGTCTTTTTGAGACAGGGTCTGACTATGCAGTTCAGGCTGGCCTTGAGCTCACTTTGTAGCCCAGGCTAGTCTCAAACTCCCAATGATCTTCCTGCTTCAGCCTCCCAAGTGCTGGGATTACAGGTGTGAGTCACCAAGCCTGGCCACCCAGATTTTTATTGAGTTGCTTTAATGATAAATTATAAAGGATCCAAGTCTTTTATCAGATGTATCTGAGAAATCTGGCAGCAGAAAACAAAAAACAAGAAATAAAGTTAGGGTGGAATTTGAGGAAAGAAAGTGTCAAAGAGAAGCATGTGGTCATTCTTGCCAAATTTTGAGAAGATAACTAAGAAAATGATTGTGATAGGTACTTGGCAGCAGAGAAACGGGCAGAAGGAAGAAGGGAAAGAGGCTTTATTTTCTTTGAGGAGATGGAGAGAGTGTGGGGAAGGATGAGGAATTCTCTCAGTTAGAACAAAGGGACACTGAGGCTTTTATGGCCTTTGCCAGGGGTGGAGTTTGGGGGTATGTTCAGATATACCTGAGGAGCTGATGAGGGGTCTTCCCTGAGGCGATGGGAAGGGTGGAAGTAAATTATGTCCTGAGATAAATTGGAGAAGAAGGGAGAGGTGGTCTTGGGAAGATGGGCTTTTTTTTTTTTTTTAAGGGCATTAGCCATATTAGATGACCACCGTAAGGATTTCAGCAATTCATACTAGGGCCAGAACCTATCAGATTAGGCAGCAGACAACTGGTGCCTCTGAGAAGGACAGCTCCAAGAATGGACTAGGTAGAAACAATGGTGCTCCATATGCAGGAGTGGTTTGGAAAGGAGAAAACGGTGCAGTGTGTGGGCCATGAGTTGGAGCAGCTTGACCGAGAAGGGGAGGAGCAAGAGGCCTTTCCTTTGCAGTACTGGGGTTTGAACCAAGGAACTTGGGCAGGTTAGGCAAGCGCTCTACTGTGGAGCCCAAAAGAGGGCTTTAAAAAAATGCTGGAACAATCCATGTAGAAAGGCATAAATCAGTGCTTAAAAGAAAGGGTGCAGGGCAACCAATTCTGGACCCCTCCTGCCTCCAGGAGCAGTTCCTATTTCCAGTCCTTTTCACAGTAAATTCTCCTACTGAGGGGAGAGAGAGCGAGAGAGTGAGAACACGAGAGAGCAAGACAGACAGACAGCGAGCTGAGGAGATAGCTTGG